ATGACATCAGCTATAATACTGTGTTAATGTATAGGGTACCACTCGTGGAGTATAAATACACCCTCAACACTGATACCACATGACATCAGCTACAATACTACCCTCTTCTTTTCTTTCCTATATATGTAACTTATTCGTCACAAAGAAGTTAACACTTTTAATTATTTAAAATGTGATACGTGTCAAGGAGAAAGCGTCATTTTACGTAGATTGGTTGAACCTGATAATGGATCTTACAATCCTACAAAATTATTTCTGAGTATAGTGAAATTGTCGAGACTGTCACTGTTTCCGATAGGAAGGTCCTGTATTAACCTAGAAGTAGCACAAAATTGTATTACTACCAATGTCGTAAGAAAGATGATTAATGTTACACATATTGTTCTCTCATTTTCTCTGTTGTTTTTTTCCAGCTCTTGGTTTTGAACAGAAATAAAAGGAAACGTTTGTCATGCCACCTGAACTTCTTAATAATTGTGATTCATTAATTAAAATTAAATTTTTCTCTCAAAATTAAGGGTTTAGTTAATGAACTAAAATATTAACTGATAGCTTTGATTACTGATTATTAGAAAGGTTTTCAACCAGAGAATTACGATTGTCGTTAAGCAAAAGGCAGCCATAACCACTTACTATAATGGAAGACAAAAGTATGCATGTATCTACCAATGTACAATCACTGTAACATAACCACAGGAAATACAGAATTGAGTTAGATATCGTTTGAAAGATAATTTTCCTCATATTTGTCTTCGAAAGTTACATTTAATTTTTTTTGTCTGGTTTGATTCTTATGTTATAGATTAGCACAAGTGTTAGAGCGTGCGTTTCAAACAGCCTTGTTCTAACGGATATACGCTGTTATTCATAGGTTTGTTGCACAAGAGTTACATGGACATAGACGTCACAAAATCTTGAACTGACAAATTACAGAAACATGGCAACTAGCCAACAGTAGTAACCTCCAACTATTAGGCTACTATCTAGTGACCGAATAATGGGATTTCAAGTACATTATTATAGTGCTCACAATTCCGAAGAATTGAACGAGTTTTTTTGCGACATTGGGTCGCGAACCACAAAACATCCAATTCACAATTCAGGAATGCTAACCATTAGGCCACGCCCGGTCCCTATGCCTTAAATGTTATAAAAATAATCCATTATATATATATATATATATAAGTGTGATTGATTTACTATGTTTTTATATTTAATAGAATTAACCTATTACTCTTATAAACACAATGCGTTAATTCATTGCGTCTTCTGATACCATGTGATTGAACCCACAGCACCTTTCAGTGCCATTCAATTTACCATTATATCTTTTGTTACTATAGCCCATAACCCATTACATCTACTGATACCATGTTATTGATTGGTTTATTTGGTTTGTTATGAATTTCGCGCAAAGCTACACGAGGGCTATCTGCGCTAGCCGTCTCTAATTTAGCAGTGTAAGACTAGAGGGAAGGTAGCTAGTCATCACCACCCACCGCCAAATCTTGGGCTACTCTTTTACCAACGAATAGTGGGATTGACCGTCACATTATAACGTCCCCACGGTTGAAAGGGCGAGCAGGTTTGGTGGGACTGGGATTCGAACCTGCGACCCGCAGATTACGAGTCGAGCTCCCTAACCACCTGGCCATGCCGGGCACCATGTGACTGAACCCACAGCACCTTTCTGTGTCATTCAATTTATCATTATATCTTTTGTTACTATAGCCTACTGATGCCTTGTAATGTAAAGGTCAAGTGTTTAACATTTTTTATACTTTACAACTTAATTATTAGTTCTTATGATATTAGATAATTTTTTTTGTCTTCACAAGTTAATAATTAATTTCTTTAGATGCTTTAGTTCTCACTTTATTTTTACCTCATTTTTTTATATACTAGACCAAAATTTTAACACATTTTTTGTTCTAAAATTAATTCTTTAGATACTAGATAAAATTTACCTTAGCTCTTTTTTTGCCACTTTTTTTTTGTTAACGAGTAGTTGTTTTTGAAATATTTGGCCAGGTGGTTAGGGCATTTGACTCGCAATCTGAAGGTCGCGAATTCAAATCCCTGTCCAACCAAACATGCTCGTTCTTTCAGCCGTGGTGACGTTATAATATGACTGTCAATCCCACTATTCTTTGGTAAAAGAATAGTCCAAGAGTTGGCGGTGGGTGGTGATGACTAGCTGCAATGCTAAATTAGAGACGGCTAGCGTCAATAGCCCTCGTGTAGCTTTGCGCGAAATTCAAAACAAAACAATTGAAATACTTCTATTAACTTCACTCTACAACTTATCTTTTAAAAACTTAACAGGCCTGGCATAACCAGGTGGTTAGGGCGCTTCACTCGCAATCTGATGGTCGCGGGTTCAAATCTCTGTCCCACCAAATATGCTCGCCCTTTCAGCGTTATAATGTGACTGTCAATCCCACTATTCGTTGAAAAAAGAGTAGCCCAAGAGTAGTTGTCTTCCCTTTAGTCTTTCACTGTTAAATTAGGAACGTGTAGCTTTGCGCGAAATTCAGAACAAACAAACAAACAAAAACTTGACGTATTTACAATGTCGGCAGGAATTTTGAAAAATTTTGTTATTTAACCATCTGTTAGCAAATAGATTAAAAACTGGACGTTGTAAAAAGAGTGAAAACATTAATTTTCGATGTAAAATACGTAGCGGATCCCAGCAACAATTAATAGGATTACTTGCGTTATTTTTATTAAAATTGTTTTGTGTGGATCATAATTTGTTATTAGGGACCCTTTTAAAGTTGGTACATAACATCAATATAATATATATATAATATAAATACTCAAAAAAAGATATTCCATCGCCTCAAATAAAATATTTATTTAGGTTAAAAAACGAAAGCGCCAAAAAAAAGTGATAATAACTTAAACTTTTAGCCACTAGATGACGCTAAATAGTGTTCTGGTGATATGTTTTCGGTTTGGTATGTTTATTGTTAAGAGCAAAGCTACACTGTGAACTATCCATGTTCTGCTCACCACAGGTATCGAGACCCGATTTTTAGCATATAAACTTGCAGACTTACCTCTGAGTTACAAGGGGACAAAAAGCTTTCGAATAAAACAATGTGTGATAATCAATCTGGAGGGTTAAAACGTGAAATAAGTAATTTTATAGAATAGAAACAAATAAAGGAATACAACGTGGAATATTAGAAGCATTTGATGACGACCGGAAGGTCATGGTCTAACCTTCAGATGGTTCTGAAGATCATTATAAGACGTGGATATTGGTAACTTGAAACTAAACACAGGACGTATGCTTTTAAATATGCTAACAAGAAGAAACTCTGCCATGGCCTCTGGAGCGTTTGTTCACCTCAATGATACCTTACATACCCAACAACGAATTTACGGCACAACCGTCCCTAATTTTGAACTGTGGGTCAACTTAAAGGCAACCAGTCGGAAGCACTCGTCACTAAAACTGCTAATTTTATCCGAATAGCGGGATTGACTGTCAATCCTATAACACCCCACTTACAAATAAAATTTGAAACAGTGTTTTGTAGCACCGCTTTTCGAACCCGAGCTCCACAAACTTCGTTTCCGATAGGCTCGGACGACTTTGGTATCGATGGTCATTTAAACATGTCGACACTTCACAGATACTTAGCATGTTCAACACCAGATTGGAACAATGCAATCGCATCGAATTGATCCCTTGCTCGTCTCCAGGCCCATATTCTGATTGAAGCAGTTCTTGTCGCCTTATAATACAAAATCGTCGATGTACCAGTCCTGATAGATTTTACACCGAACGAAACGGTGTCAACTGTAAGGTCCACCTATATCCCAGATTTTTTACAGAAACCGCAACATTTTTTACCCATTTTTGCAAATTATTTTTCGCATACGATTTTGTCTTTTACTATTATTAATTATGTTTAAATAACATTATTAACTTAGTACTTTTCATGATGTTAGAAAAATAGGTAGGTTCAAGAAGACTTGATAGAAATGAATAAAAACCCTATAACCCGAGCGCTTTCGAAATGTGGACCTTTCTTCTTCAGGGGCAAGCTTAGTACTGTTGTAATTTATGTTTCAGCTACGTTGTTATATTTTACTATTATTATTTATACGTAAATAACTCTATTATCTTTAATACTGTTGTTACATATGTTTCAGCTACGTTGTTATATTTTACTATTATTATTTATACGTAAATAACTCTATTATCTTTAGTACTGTTGTTACATATGTTTCAGCTACGTTGTTATATTTTACTATTATTATTTATACGTAAATAACTCTATTATCTTTAGTACTGTTGTTACATATGTTTAATAAAGCTATATTTTCTTTGTCGTTAATTATATTTAAGTCTCCTGATGGCTCCGCGGTACGGCTAAGGGTTCATAACGTTAAACATCTGGTTTCGATACCTGCAGTGGTGGGTAGAGCACGGATAACCCATTTAGTAGCTTTGAGTTTAACAACAAACAAACAAACTTCTGTTTAAGCTATCTTATTATTTTTCATTATTTCTTGTTTATTATTTAATTGCAGTTTTGTGTTTAAGTTTAAATTAGGCTTATGACTCCACTAACTAATGGGAGTTTTATGTAGCGACAATCAAACTCTTATAGCTTTTGAGAGTACCAAACGCTTGTCAAAGTGATAGAGAAACAATATCCAGACACGTCCAGCGCACGGCGAACGTGTAAAAGTGGAACAGGAGATAGTTTAGGAAGAACACTGAACGCAAAGAGAACGCGTTAAGTAACAATAATGTAAGCATCCAGCTGGCCAGTGCAGTAACCCGTCAACCCCTGGCACAGCTGTCAGTTAATGCCGGGTGGTGATACGCGGATCAACGACAGACTCGTATCTTGTGTTCAGAACTATTCAAGATCGCGTTCTTGTCGAAACTACGAACTGTTTGTTATTATTATTGGAAAGTGCTATCGATAAAACCCCGAGTGTCCAGAAAGATCCCACTAAGGCAGAACTGGAAACCAGTTTATGAAACAAACGTGTAACAGAAGTTCGCTGAAGATCTCCGATCGTCTACTCTGCCCCATCTGATGTTGGTCAGTCTCTAATTATATATCTGTGATATATAATTCCATAATTGGATAAAACTATTGTTTTCATTAATTTATACTCAGGTTTAACCCTGTTTATTTTGATTTACTGTACCTAAATATATATATATACATAATTTAAAGACAGATGACATAAAACATCCGTGTCTTATTAAAACAAGTCCTAAAGATACTTACTTCTAAATTTTTTCTGTAAAAATGATTCTGATACATATGCTTATAATGATCTAAAAATCTTGATAAAGCTGAGAAAGACTAATTAGTGAATTGTATGTTCTTCAGCCAGTCTGTTTTATTTTTAGATTTAACTCCAGTATTATTTCGAACAATATCATTATTTTAGTTCCATAACGAGACACAGTAGTTCAGGAGTTTGTTTATTTGTTGTTTAGCGCAAAGCTACACAATGGCTATCTGTATATCGGGTTTTTAGCGGTGTGACTCTCGGGCTTACCGCTGTGCCCACCATGAGTATCAAAACCCGGTTTTTAGCGGTGTGAGCCCTAACGTTTACCGCTGAACCAATGGGGAGGGGGGGCTGCTCCCATTACGGGTATCGAAACCCAGTTTTTAACGTTATAAGCCACTAGACTTACCACTAACCACCGGGGGCTATTAGTTAAGGAGAATGTGACTTTTAGATAACAAAAGTAGAGGTTAAGTAGGAAGTGAAAGGTTAAATAGAAGTTTATTTACAAGTAACAGGGGCGTTTATTATTTGGAAAGGTATTTTATAAGTAACAAGAATAGAAGGTTAATCAAAAAGTTATATATAGTCAAGAGGCAGGTTAACTAGAAGGTAATTTACAAGAAATATGAGTATCAGGTTAATTATAAGTTATTTATATTCAGAGAGAGGTAACTAGAATATGATTTACAAGTAACAATAGTGGGAGGTTAATTGCCATGGTATTTACAAGTCAAGGAAAGATAGATTAAGTTGAAGATAATTTACAAGTATCAGGTCTGGGAGGTTAATCAGAAGGTTATTTACAACTTCAAGCCACACGGGAAAAAAAAGAGGATAATTGAAAGGTAAGTTACAAGTAACATGCGTGTGAGGCTGATTAGAAGGTCATTTATAAACTAGGGGGGGAGGTTAAATGAGACGTGTTTTACACGATAACGAAGTTGATTTACAAGTCAATCTTTTGAGCTGCAGAAATAATAAAGATATGCTGCTCAATGTCGAATAATATATAGTTGTGGAGATTTCTGTCTTTTATGTACTTTGTATTTCTCTTTCCGTCTGGATACTTATCTGTACATATATATGTATAAGATTAATAATTCACTTTTTTGTTTACGTTTTCCTATCCTTTCACGTATACTCTGACCATCCTAGCACGTGTTGTGTTCTACCATTTGTGACACGCAGTATTTCAACTTACTGGTGGCAATAATTAGTTTTAATTGATTGTTGGTCAGGCAGGGCATGGCTAATGTTTAACATGTCGGGGTGCGGATAGGATGGTCCAGGGTTCGAGATGTTATACCACTGAACTCGTTTTAAAACGCGTTATAAAAGTGACAATTAATCCTGTTATTCGATTCAGAGAACTAAAAACAATCTTTATGGCGGCGAGTGCATCTAGCTAGCTGCCTTCCCTGTGCTCAGTAATTCAAAATCATGGACCGAAGGGTCTTTGACCTAGCAGTTTAGCCCACATATACATAAAGTGCTTATCAGAATGAAAATTCCAGTTTCATAATTACCATGTACTTAATGAAAGTTAATAACCTTCGAAATCATGAATATAGTGTACCTCAATATCCATATCATGAATGTTGTGTAACTAAGTGTCAATATCATGAATGTAGTGTACGTAAATATCCATATCATGAATGTAGTGTAACTAAATAACCATATCATGAATGTAGTGTACGTAAATATCCATATCATGAATTTAGTGTACGTAAATATCCATATCATGAATTTAGTGTACGTAAGTATCCATATCATGAATGTAGTGTACGTAAGTATCCATATCATGAATGTAGTGTAACTAAATAACCATATCACGAATGTAGTGTACGTAAATATCCATATCATGAATGTAGTGTACCTAAGTGTCAATATTATGAATATAGTGTACGTAAATATCCGTATCATGAATGTAGTGAACGTAAATATCCATATCATGAATGCAGTGTAACTAAGTGTCAATATCATGAATGTAGTGTACGTAAATATCCATATCATGAATGTTGTGTACCTAAGTGTCAATATCCTGAATGAAGTATACCTAAGTGTCAATATCATCAATATAGTGTAACAGTAAAATACAATATCATGAATGAAGCGCACATAAATACCTATATCGTGAATATAATTTACCTAGAAATCATTTCACGCCTGTTTTTTTTCCATATATATATATACACACACATATATATATATTGAATCTAAAGAGGAAATCTAAGAAGTATTGTAAAATATTATAACATTTCTGAATAAAAGGTATTGGTTGATTAAGAACGTTGTGGTGCGCTGTACAGTAGTAGTTTCATCAGTCGAAATACAGGGTGGCCAAAAATTATCTTTCTTATTTAATATTTTAATAATTAACTAACTAAGGAAATATAAGCATACAGTTTTCAACACTTTCTAGCCCAACTCAAACAGTTTTTATTTGCATGTCTGTAGATTTCTATGAGTGCACCATTAATGGCTCTCAGCACGTCTAACTGATATTCGTTGTAACATGTCCACAGTTACAGTGGCGATGCATGGCGCCCGTTATCCTGGTCTTTAGCTCCATAAAGTTTGCTATAGGTGTGCAACACACGATATCCTTAACATACCCCATACTTTGTTCCTGTACTGGCGTCTGTAATTACACTGCACCACAGTCACTGACTTGGTATCTTCATGCTAAACGATTCATTGAGCCCTTTCTTGTACAGTTGCCATTTTACGAGGTAACTCTACTTATTGGAGTGAAAAACAAAATAAAAAACATACAATGAAAACTGTATAATAGACACTGACATGTGAGGATCTCAATTTTTTAGATTCTAGTTTGTGATGCTTTACACAGAAAATGTATGTTAATATTTCCTATACTAAGGTACATGCTGCTTTAGTTATTATAATCTCCGAAATTAAAAACATAAATTTAACAATAAACTGTATACATTTCCTAATACAGTATTAACTGTACTTTTTCTCTCTTTTTTTTTTAATGTCACTTAACAGAAGTTTTGGTGGGGGTTGTTCTGGACCTAACAGAGATCTGAAAGGCCGAGGGGTAAGATTTTGATGTGGGCCTTCCTCTATCCACTGAGCCTCGAATCTCCCACAATCGGACACATACGTTATTGTTCTACAAATATATGCTGATATTATTTTTTAAACATTTCATTCATGGCCATTCACTACTGTCGTTTTTAAGTCATGATTCTATTTCGTATCAGATAGCCTGAAGTCAACAGAGGAGATAAAATCTTAATACACACACACACACTGCTACCACTGGTCATTTCATCAGGAATAATAAGACATTGCTACCATAGCCAAAGGTAGCCAAATGCCTCGTCATCCAATTAGTGACGCGCATGAATGGATTAACGAGATTCCCACTATCCCTATCTACTACCCGTTACGGATAAACTGATATTCTAGTTGACTTTTGAAGCTTATAATAAATTGTCTTTCAACTTTTTGT